GCAAAACAGGTCATTCATCCTCATATATATACTTGACTTGTATATTACATGATCAATATCTGTATTCTATCTTTGATTCTTTGACTGTCGAGTTATATCTGTCTATTTTCATGTCTATATATCCACACAAACAAACACATAAGTACACACACACACACACACACACACACACACACACACACACACACACACACACACACATATATATATATATATATATATATATATATAGAGAGAGAGAGAGAGAGAGAGAGAGAGAGAGAGAGAGAGAGAGAGAGAGAGAGAGAGAGAGAGAAACACATACGCACAAATCGTGGACACTGCTCCCATAGTATACATACCCATGTATGGCAGAGAACAACAGTTCCTATAGACCAACACAAATACCATAACACTAGACTCTACTCACATCGCGCTCTCCGTCACGCATATCAGACTAACCCAAGCGACGCCTCACTCCAGCACCCTTCACGACGCTCGCTCACAGAAGCAGACACTTGAGGAGTCACTCAGCGATCCCATTCTGACCCGGAACTCGTTCGCCGTCAGCCATGAACGGTGCCCTTCACGGTTACGATTGTGTCTTCGGTCGAAACACTAAGGGCTACTCCCCCCACCCACACCTCCATTTTCACTTTCACGCCCACGGAGAGACAAATACACACATGTGAATACAAAGGAAGCACATTACCATGACCAGACAGATGAATAGGGAAATAGTTACGGTAAGAAAAGAAACTGAATTGTAATATTTAGAAATCAAATGGATGAATAACCGAAATGGAACGAAATGTTGCGTTATAAATCCTTTTCTTATTGTGGCTGTCTTCCTATTCACACTTTATCCCCTTCCGAAGGCATATTGCTCTCACACACGCGAAGAATCTCGCAATCTTGCCAACACCAAATGATATCAGACTTACATTTGCTTCTTGCCGTTGACTTTGCCGCGGAACTTCAGGAGTTCCCTCTTACACCCTTTGCTGTTCAGATTAAAGAATGGACAGAAGAAAGATCTCGATTTAGGAGTCTGCATGAGGGAAAAACAAGGAACATTATGATACGAGTCCGGGTATGCATCAGCTGAACCTGTGGCATCTTCAGGACCAGTGGCGATATTCACGAAAGAAAGGAAATAGACCGAAATTTGTCTTCAACAGAAAAATAGTCTTTGAATCCAAGATTTTGTCTGTGACTTCTTGGAAATATGTCCTTACTACCCAACTTATGCCTATGACTCGGCCGAGGTTTAGGGCAGGTCCGGAGGTGGTCTACGGACGTAATGACTGTCTTTAAATTTTCCTTACGAAACGCCGACAAAAATACTGCGATTTTGAAGATGACTCAGCATCAGAAATTATATGGAAAACTTACTTGCGACATTTCTACCTATTGTCAGACATTCATTGAGACGATTTCTCTCCTTGTTCACTGCAGTTTTCTCGTGATCATAACGAAAGTAGAAATTGCCACATAAAAAGTAAAAAAAACAAAAAGAAAAAAAAAGATATTCATTATACTCATTATATACTTCAGATTCATTTAATTAGTAATATATATATATTATATATATATATATATATATATATATATATATATACATATATATACTTTATTGAATATTACGGAAAGGCTTCTAAAATGTAAATATTAATTGTAGCTATGTTTAGACTAGGTAAAGACTTTTTAGGAAAGACCTTAAATCTTTAAATGCGATTTTGCGACTTTTCCTTTCCCTGATCATTGCCGAAATTGAGCAACTATATATATCATGCATACATGCATATGAATTATGTATGTACGTATGTATGTGTGTACAGCCAAACACACACACACACACACACACACACACACACACACACACACATATATATATATATATATATATATATATATATATATATATATATATATCAGTCTATCTGTATGTGTGTGCGTACGTGCGTTCGTACGTGTGTGTGTCTGTGTGCACATAACAATACTAATAATAGTAATACTGATAATGATAATAATGGTAATAATGTTAAGGATGATAATGACATTGATAATGATCATAATAATGACATTGATAATAATGATAATGATAATTATCATAATGATAAAAAAGAGAAATAATAACCATTATCATTATCATCATTATGATTACCATCATCATGTAATATATGTTGTATATATGTATATATGCATGTATGTATCCGAATATCCAAGCATTAATGTATGTAATCATAACAATAACAACGATAACAAATCTAATAATGCAAATGGTAACAACAACAAAGAAAAACAGTGATGGTATTCATGATAATGAAGACAATAAGGGTAATAATGATATTAATAATGACAATATGGTAAGGATAACAATGGAAAAGGTAATAATAATAATAATGATAATAGCAATAATAATAATATGATTATAATCATAATGATGACAATACTAGTAATGACAATAGTAATGATAATGATAATAACAATAATAATAGTATAACAACAATGATAACAATGAGTTATAATGATGATGATGATGATAAATAATAATATTAATAATGATAATAATAATAATAATAGGGTAACGACAAGAGTAGTGATAATGATGGTAATGATGATGACACTGATAATACTAATAATAATAATAACGACGATAATAATAATAGTAATGATGATGATAATGACCAAAATAATGATAATGATAATGCTATTAAAATAATGATGGTAATAGTGATAACAATATCAACAGTATCAATGATAGCATTCATAAAGAAATAAATGATAATACTGATGATGAACAGAAGAAAAAAGAATAGAAAAATCCCTTACTTTAATCTTGTTTTTGCATTTCTTCTTCTGGCGGTCATTGTCGGTGTAGATAACAACAGATTCCCCGTATCCCAGAACAATTTCCCCCTCACATATTTCTTGAATTCCTGAGGACAATAACAGTGACAGAAATGATCAAACTGGTCCCCTCCCCATCCTCAAAAAGTTAAGACATTGTTTTATTTATGTATCCATTTTCCCTCATAGGATTGTAAAGAACGAGATTGGTGTGATAATGGTGGTGTTGACAATGGAAATGATAAAGGTATTGTTAATAATGAAGATAATAATAATTATATCATTATTAATCATAATATCAGTATAAATGATTATAATAGTAATGATAATGATTATGATGATAATCATATTACTGATGATGAAACAAAGATATGCATTTCATGGTGTAATTATAAAGGCAAAATTGAAATATAGAAATAACGAGGCCAGTGATGCCATTAATTTTGAAGTATAGCAAAAGTTGAATCATTGCATCTATTACGCAATTGTTATGTGATTCAAATGACACAGACGAAGAAATTAAGAAACTGACTCACCAATATTCCCCGTGTTTCTTGCAATGTTTTTGGAAGCACTTTGTGGTCGGTTGATTTTCTCAGAGTTTTTGTCCTTTCCGTTATGAAGGTTTCGGCCCTTGATAATGTTCGTTTCAGATCGGCTGCTTGGCTTGACTTCCTTTTCCTCCTCGGTGGCCTTTCCATGCCTCCCTTCGCTTACTTCCTTTTGTTGTTTTGTTCGTTTCGCGTTAAACTTGTCTTGGTTTTGTCGTTTTCTGCCCTTATGCTGGTCTTGATTCTCTCCTTTTCTGCTCCTATCCCTGTCTCGTTTTTCCTCTTTTCTGCTCATATCCTTGTCTCGATTTTCCTCTTCTCTGCTCCTATCCTTGTCTCCGTCGCCTCTATTATATTTCTTGCTTTGCTTTTTCGTCCCCCTGCCATTCGCGTTTTTATTTCCTTCTTCCTTTTCTCCCTTGTCTTTATTTTCTCTCTTGTCTTCCTTTGTACCTCTTTTTTTCGAGGGTTTTCTATCCTCCTTGCTCTTCTTGTCCTCTTTCCCATCCTTTTGCCGTCCTCCCTGCCTTTTGAATCTCCTTTGTTGCCTAGGTTTCTCTGCTCTTGAATTTGGACTTTGTGTCCATTTCCTCTCTTCCTTCGGCTCTGATTCTTTTCGCTCTTTCTTGATATTACTTATCTTTTCCACTTGTTTTGGTGTTCTCTGTTCCTCCCTCCTTTCGCTTTTATTGTCACCATTTCCGTCCTTCGTGTATTTGGTTACCATCGCACTTAACTTCGCTTTATTGTCTGCCTTGTTGGTCTGTTCTTTCGCCGTGTTTTGTTTATCGGATTTGACCTCCCTCTCGCGCCTGTCAAGAGCTGTGTCCTCTGCTGTCAAGTCTAGAATGTCTTGGTCGTGTCTCCCATTTTGGCCAGCCTGTGCAAACGGAATAGGTTGCTTTCTCGTTATGTTTTTATTTGTTTTTTATTTTATTTCTATTTATTTATTTATTTATTTATTTATTATTTATCAATCAATCTAGCTGTCTCTCTCTGTCTGTCTCTGCCTCTTTCTTTCTCTTTCCCCCCCCCCACCTTCAACTCTCTTTGTGTCTGACATTTTCTTTTCCCTTCCAACTTTTTTCTCCCTTTCTCACCTTTTGATAAGCACCCACTGCAAGAGCTACAAGCAGCAGCAAGAGAAACAGTCGCATTTTCTCGTCTGAAAAAGATGGTTTTCAGATTAAAGACATATATTTATGTATCAAAATCTTTATCTACCCGTCAACACATTTATTGTTTGTGTGTGTAAATATATATGTACACACATACACATACAGATATATATATATATATATATATATATAATATATATATATATATATATATATATATATATATATATATACGTTTTAATCAGGTTATCTATCATTTTTTTGAAAGCTGACAATAGCCATGTGACCATGATACAGACTTTATATGGGATTTAGTAAAGTAGAATATCGGTCTTACCAGAAAACCTACCAAAGGTTTGTGTCATTTGCTCCGAAAAAGATGAATATCTGACGAATGGATGGTCTTAATGTTAAATGGATTTTATAATGGTAACCTTCCGTTGACCTCATGTCTTACGCCATGAATTCCTTTCATAGTTTAAAGGTATCTGGAGTCGTG